TATTGAGACTCTATTCCTTGTTAGGTATTATTGTTTCCCCGTATGATGATTTGTTTGTTTTCTTGGACAAAGGTGTAGAAAAATTGACCTATTATATTGACTCACAAATTAAAAAAATAGCAGCAAATAATTATATTGATGACGACCCTTTTGAAGAGCTAAAACCAAATTACTTACTTACTAATAAAGATATAATTATCGAAAAAGTAAAAAATCATCTCTACTCTATAGATATTGATAGAGCTCTCAACTCTAAATACAACCCACTTTACAGAACTGTTTGTAGCTTTAACAGCCCTCAGCCGCAAGAATATTTAACTTACCATGTAAATATAAACAAATTGAAACTAGTTAGCCAATTAAGAATTTCAGATACGGAAAAGCTGAAAATTTTTCATAAAAATACCACTTAGATTATAAAAGTGGGGGAAAAATGTGGATGTTGTCAAGAACATATCACCCAAAACATAGAACACCTGCTATTGCAATGCCCCAGGCTAAGTATTGATAGGGAAAAATACCTAGGAGATTATATTTTCCAAAACAATAAACAATTATCTTTAGAAAATCTTCTAAATATTGATAGTGCGGACAAACTAAATAACATCTATTTCTTTTTGTTAAAAACTATATATAGGTATTTAGAGTAAAGACTATATTATATTATTTTAGGAATAGCCATTTAATTATCTATGTGTAAATAGCTTTGAGAATAACTATTTAGTGTAGTTCTATTTAAGTAGTATTGGGAATGAAAGGGAGAAGAGGAGAGGGAGAGAGGGAAAAGGAAATAAAGAAAAAAACACTAATTCGATATATTATTGAATCATTAATTAATTTCCAGATATACACTTTTTTATATTATTTTGGGTTTTAGAAATAATTATCTATTTGTTTATTTATTCTATTTACTTATTGGGAAAAAATATATATATACATATTTTTTTTTTCTCTTTCAATTCGTTGTATTATTGGATTATATTGCGAGGTTATAATAAGCAATAGGAATTTACATATGTATATATATTTATATCTTTATTTATTTATGCTGTCATTGCCATTCAATACTAACAACTACTAACACCAAATGGGCCAAACTCCATGGCTAAATAATGTACATAATAGCCAATAAACTATCTATTTATCTATCTATCTATATTGACTGTTTCCTTTTTGTTCGATGAGTTCCGTATTTTCATTATTAATGAATTAAGAAATTGTATATATTTGGATTATTTTATGTTTTGTCTGGATTATTGTAATTAGAACTTTTGGGAGTGGGAAGTACTGGATCGGAAATATCTGACCTTGAAGGAGGGGGTGAGTCCCTGTGATTGTCAGAAGAGTATACATTTCGCGGTCTTTTAGTTAGCATAACTCTACATTTCCTAAGAGAAAAGTTTGTTAAAGAGTGATTGTAATTTATGTTGTCACCGTATAAATTTAGTGTCTCTGTTTGTGGTAGTTCCGGAAAATCAAGGGGAGATAACCTATTTGATGTGATTATAGACGGTACGAACTTAGCGGCTTCATTGTAATTTAGGGGTTGTGATACCATTATTTCTTTTATTTTTTCTTGTCGCTTTCTTTCTGAGCAGGTCTTGTCTGTAGATAAATGTGTAGTTTACAATGAAAACATTTAATCGTGTTACCACACTCATTTTTTTCGTGAGTATTATCCTCACAATTACAATATTTATTTTTCCCCATATCTTTTTTTAGTTTTTTGGACATGACTCCGAAACTGTGCATTTTATCGAAATTATTATTATATACAACGTTAAAGAAGATAAAATTTACTATCAATTTTAAGCATAGCTTTTTGATGTAGGGCTAACGGGTGAGCAGTATGAGAATATTGACTGTTTGCATTTTTCACAAGAAAAATCTATTTTTGTCGGTTTTCCCCCAAAACTCATAAATCTATGCATCTATCGAAGAAATTCAATATAATCAATTTGAAAGAGCATTAAGTTTCGTATGCACGTCATGCAGACACGTTAATATGTAAGATTAAACGGCTGTTAAAGCTCAGAGAATCGAAGTCGTATTTCCCTTGCAGTACCTGTCGTTCACAAACTACGTGCTTTTTATCTTTTCAATGCTTTATTTCCGGCTAGTTTAACTATTTTATAACAGAACTAGGATGTATAAACATATTACATAGCGTTTATATATTCTGTTGATATGCATAACAATCATCACAAAATTAAGGACCAAAAGGCATTTTAAAGTCCGAGCGGTCCAACATTTTGCTTATCAACGAATAGATGTATACTTACAGATAGTAAATAGTGTTGTTATATTTTTCTTTTTTAAAAAGCACTGTTTTAAATCCATTTCGCTTACATGTTATTCATTACCCTTGTTTACTTCCAATATAACGGCCAAGGCCGATATTGACAGTGACAAGTGGATAGATATAGGTTATATAACGATATAAATATGAAGTTGGTCGGTCGTCTATAACAATTATACATTATAACAACGAAATTTACCAGGTCTCTTAAGGTCTGATATAAGTTATATTAATCCACTGTGTATTAATTCCAATTTAAAAAGCATATTTTCGAATTAAAAAAATTCCCTGACTTTGACAATTTTTCCCTGACTTCTCCCGGTTTTGAAAATTCCCTGACTTTTCCAGGTTTTTCCCGGTTTTCCAGGTTGGTCGCCACCCTGATTCTGAATTGAGGAAGAGTATCGCTGCTCATATTTCTTCCTTGGTGCAATCAGACAAAGGAGAACTCATTTTGAACAATGTTCTAAACACAATCAAAAGTAGCCAACAATGGAACAACCATTTCAATGAACAGCTGAAAAATGTTATGAGCAATAGCAGAACAATCAGTGCTGCCATACACATGATTGGGAGGGGAATCAAAATTTCCCTTTATTTTTGGATTTTCTCTCGTATTATACCAGACCATCTTCAATACCGTAAGTTATTTCAAATTAGGAATAAAAATAATCCTGCCAATATCTCTTAGTAAGGAATAAAAGTAATTAGTCTCTCTACTTTATTTAGAGCTCTTTTATGATTATAGAATTATGTGCTTGATTTGAAATCTAGAAAAACGATCTGTATGAGCTTTTAATTTGTTTGCTTTTTCTTTATAAAAATAAAAAAATTTGGTCTGTAGTTGACTATTTTTTTCTAAACCTTCATGGTAAACATCTAACTGTGTTTCTAAATATTTTACTAATCGGTTATATAAGACAGGAGAGAATACTTTATAAGTATTATTCAGAAAACTTATTTCCAAGTAATTACTTCAGTTTTTAGCATCCTTTTACTTTATGAAAACAGGTAGGAAGACTGATTCATTCCAGGTATCTTCACACTAATTTACAAAGCTGAATATTTATGCAAATGGGCTGAAGCTACTAATGTCACTTATCAATGATAAAAGTTCGATTTTAGAGTTACAACCTACTTTCTGTAAGGGTCATACCACTTTCCATATAGCTGCAAAGAAAGGAAAAAAATAGATTTCTGATGAAACATGGGACTCAAAATTGATGAAATAAAATGAAAAAACAAATCCCATGAAAGAAATTAACCAGACAAAACAGTACAAATAAGTTATTTCAAAACAAATTTTTATTTATCAAATGAAACAAATTTTGCCATGAAACAAATTAATGATTATTTACAATTTTCTTGTAAATTTTAATTTCAAAATTTATGTCATACTTGTCAAAATACATATTCTACTAGAATATTTCAAACTCATATGAATTAAAAAATAAACAATAATAATGAACTTATTATAATGAAAGAGGTGTCACGTTGCTTCTGAAGGAAGATCTATAAATATAAATTCAAATATAAATTTTTGATAACAATACATTAACATAATATGAATATATAAAATAATATTTCATATATTATAATAGTAATAAATTTATTAATCGATATTTAAAATTTTCTTTTCAATTCAAGTCCCAAAATTTAATGTGTACATTTATCAAATAAATTGTCAGTCAAAGTAATTCAACATTTAATTTTTAAATTAAATAACTGCTACAATAATTAATTATTTATAGCGCAATGGTTGTCACACTGAACTTTGCTATAAAATAAATTCAAATACACATGTATTTGTATTTTATATATTGTATATTGTATATAAAATATAATAATATTTATAATATTATTATATTTTAGTATAATACAAATTTATTAATATTTAAAAATTTCTTGTAAACATGCATAACAAAATTTAATATATATAGGTCAAATTACATTATCTTCTCAAATTTTCAAAATCATTTGAAATTTTGTTTTTAAATGTAGAAATAATAATAATAAACTGAATGGGATATCGCAGTACTTCTAGAAGAAGATTCATGAAGATAAATTTATATCCCTTCCAACAGAGACTTAAAATTCTGAACCATTTTCATGAACCAAATACAAAACATTTGGTACCAAATAAATCATCATATATATTTATTAACAATGTTTTCACGGAATGTTAAGTTCATATGAGGCAAATCATTTAAATACATGAAATTTAATACCATATTCTATAACAATAACAGTTGAAAACACAGATTTAACATATTGAATAAACTGTTCTAAAAATCATAACATAAATATATATGAATTAGATTTAGTAATCCTAAAAATTGAATTACATTCATGAAAAACATAAAAAATACAAACTTTTAGGATAAAACTTTAATAAATTGAAAACATGGTATGGCTTTGTATTTAACCAACTGTATCCTACAAACTAATTAATTTTTTTTTACACTTTATTTAATAAATTACAGTTCAATAAACTTCATATTAATGTACATTTCCAATACAAAAGTTTAAAAAATTAGACATTCATTACAATTTTGTTACATGCAGGCAAGACTTATAACATTAAAAACATGAAAAATGGATTATAGTGGTCTATACAATGGATTACAGGCTTGCAATTTATGTACATGCATGGTTTTTTTTTTTTTTTTTAATATTTTTTAAACAGTCTTATCATCTTCCTTCACTTATTTAAAAGACAAACTTGTGGGCAATTTTGTCTAATGATTGTTCTTGCTATTTCATAATCTCCTGGAAAAAAATAAGTAAACAAATATAACTTTAAAATCCATATGCCAATCATATCGATGACAATTTAAATTTAAACAGTCGATAAAAACTTAAGTAAATAAAAACAATAGTTGGCCCACAAGAATATGGTGGACCAAAAGCGAACTCATACAGCACAAAGTTAAAACTAATGTTCCTTTCTTAGTACCAATGTTCGCCTTTCAATATTAACCTTCCTCTACCCCTATTAGTTAGTACCTTAAAAGGTAAATTATGAAATTAAACATAAATATATGAATTCCTCTTTATTGATTATTGTTTTCATACAAATTATTTCCAAAAATTCTCAAAAGTACAGCATAATAAAATCAAAAATCGTACTAATATTTTTACTAATCATCAGGTCAATTTAATGGGTGAGTTTTTTCTCCTCGCATGGACTCTTTTCATTCCAATGTTCTAAAATACTCTTTATAGATACTCCTATATAATATAAATAAATAAAAAATCACGAGTCATAAACAATATTTAAAAAAATATAATAAACTACATACTGAAAATAAAATAATTAACTTTACAAATAAGATAATTCCACAAGATATTTTAAATTGCCTAAGCCTAGGTGAGTCATTCAATTACTTTCTTTATCAGCAATCACAATCATAGTATAATTGAACTCAGCCAAATTAGAGAGCCTACCTAAAAAGACATAAATACCTCTGATAGCCACACACATGTGTTGAGGAATAATTTTAATAAGAATATTTTATACTCTATCAACGGTGAAAGAAATTGGAACTTTAAAAAAATGTGATTAACACAATTCTTTATTAAAGTAGAAGAAGATTGCAAAATTACAAAACTATTTCTTAGTAATAATCCCAACCTATATCTCATTAAAGCAGACAAAACTAAAAAATTAGTATTCATACAAGAACAATATAACGAAATTTTGACATCAATGATGCTCAATGATAGCACACATTAGATAAATGATAAAAGCCTTTTTATTTTTCTCTCTGTATTTTTTGTATTAATCTATATCATATCTTAGTATGTTTAGTTTATATCTGTATCATAACCACATGCTAGACTGAGTTATATATTTTCTGAACTCTGTTATTTTAAGAGGACTTTAATCCCAGAATAAAATTAATTTTACATTCATTAATATGCTTCATTTTCTCTATACTTATGTTCCTTATTTTCCTAGGTACTTAAATAAAAATATAAATAAATTTATATTCCTTGAATACATTTGATAATGTATAAAGATCACGTAAACTTCACATTCAACACTCCTATTTTTATGTGTAAATATATTTAAACAAAATATTTTTGAAGAAATGGAATAAAAAATAACACATACCTAAGATTAGTTCTATATATAATGCCAAAGCAATTATGTGTACTGGAACCTCATTTCTAGAGCCTTTCAGAACCCAGATCTGGAAAATAAAATTTCATTTTATAGTCAAATCAAGCTATGAATTAATATAGTTTACATATCAATAAACAAATCAAATGACAAAATAAACCTATTTTAGTAAACTATTGGGTTGGCAAATAAGTCCTTTCGGTTTTTCTGTTTATTTTTGTCACTATGATACACTTCTTGTCTGATGAATTAATCCCTAAGGAGGATTGTTTATCCTGTTTGTAATATGTCAACAACTATATCTGTTAAATCTTGCTGCAACTAGCTTAGTATTGTGGTTGCTATTGCACTGTGAATATGGAAGTAAATATCATTCATTATCGGCATATTTTTTTGAATTATTTTAAAAAAGATAAGCGTGCTGCAGAAGCTCATAGAAAAATTTGCATTGTTTATGGTGATGATGCCTTAACTGAACACACATGTCAAAATAGGTTTGCCAAATTCCCTTCAGGAAATGTTGACATCAATGATGCTCAACAGTCTGGTCGCCCACATGAAATTGAAACAAGCAATATTAAGGCCATTGCTGATCAAAATCCCACCCAATTAGTGCAAGAAATTGCTATGGCCCTAAATGTGTCGCACACAATTGTAGAAAACAATTTGCACAAGCTCGGCTATGTTTCCAGGTTTAATGTTTGGGTCCCTCACATGATTTTTTTTTTTTTTTGAAAATCATAAAAAATGTTATAATTTCGATAAGACTTTAGCTATTTATAAGAAATTTAGCAAGAATTTAGGACCACATAAAATACATAAAATTATGTCACCAGGACCTTCATTAACAAACTACAAAATGATATAAAAAATAAAAACATATAAGGAGTTTTTGTTTATTTATTCCTTATGTAGGCAAATAAAAAAACGATTCATAAGGCTTTGAAGAGCAATAATTCAGCTCTCCAACGGATAGTAACATCGAATATGGAGAACATCCTGAAGAGTTATGAATGATCGGAAGGGTGTTGTGTTCCACTATAACTACCCTAAGCCCCACACCTCATTGGTCACATTAACGAATTTTAGTGTTTAATCTAATGAGTGCTCCACAATGAAAATATTTTTTAAGACTCTATTTAAAATATATATTTAAAGCAGTTTCCACTAATTTTACTTAGGAGCTAGTTTTGATACTATAGAAAATAATAGAAAAATGTGGTTAAAACAAATTTGTATACACTATTAATAAACAGAAAAACCTAAACAAAAAATGAATATTGCTCTTATTACCTTCTCCAGCGCTAAGCTGAACAACATCGGTGATAGTCCATCTTCCTGCCGTAAGCCCGTTCAAACTTTGAAGGCTTCAGATACTTCTCCTTGTATTAGGACTCTACATTTGGGTTCATTTGTACATGCCTTTGTCAACCTCACCAACTTACCGGGAATTCCCAGTTCAGTCATGATTTTCCAAAAACAGCTCCTGTCCACAGAATCATAGGCTGCTTTGAAATCGACAAATAGGACATTGACGTCCTATCGTTTTTCGAGTACTTGTTTTAGGATGAAGATCTGGTCTAGCGTGTTCCTCCCTCTTCTGAATCCACCTTGATGGTCGCTTATTATATTTTCATAATATGGATATATCTGGTTTAGTAGGATATTGGTCATTATCTTGTAGGCAACCGGAAGGAGTGCTTTGTCTCTGTAATTACTAAACTCATACATGGAGCCATTCTTTAGGATAGGACAGATTAGGCTTGTGTTCCAAACCTCAGGTATCCTTTCCTCTTCCTATATTTTCTGGATTAGCTAATAGCTTGGCTCTTAAGTTGTCTCCTCCATCTTTAAACAGTTCTGATGGTACGGACAGTTGTCTATCCCTAAGGCCTTTTCTTGGTAGTATAAATTAATTATTTATGCGTTACAGATATAAAACTTGAATATTTGTTGCAAACCTTGTTATTCGTGTTCTTCACTATTGAAATTTTTAGAATATTCAGAAAATCAAATAAGGTGTTTACTATTGTCCTGTTTTATTGTTTAATAATAATAAAAGGCTTAGCGAACCCGAAGGTTTGACGCCGACACCACCAATCCCATATTACACACCTCCCTCCACCATTAGCTGTCCAAACACCGTCTCTTCAGATCGCCTTTAATGCAATCTTCCCACCTTCATTCAGTCTACCCCTCTGACGTTTACCATTCGGCACAGCAAATATTAACCTTTTAGGGATTATTTTGTGACTAAGCCTAACAATTTTACAAGCCCATTTGATTCCCCTCAATATTAATTGGATACAGTTCACACAATTCGGCATTGTGTAACCGTCTGAACTCTCTGTTTAGCTCATCCTTCTTTGGTCCGAATATTCTACACAATACTTTATTTTCAAAATCCTTAAGACATTCATCTCTTAATGTAAGTAGCCACTTTTCGCATCCATAAAGAAATGTAGGTAAGATAATGGTTTTATAGATTCTAGTTTCTAAGTTCCAGGACAAGAGGTGTGAGCTAAGTAGTATTGTCATAGAAAAATAATAAGCGTTTCCCACCTTAAGCCTAACCATAATATCCTCTTCAATTTTGTTTTTTCTAGTTATCGTAGACCCTAGATACTTAAACTTTTCTACGTGTTCAAACATATTACCTTCTATATCGATATCACCGGCAATATCGCCATTCTCACAGTTAACCATATATTTTGTCTTGTCTGTGGTTATTTCGAGTCCTAGTTCTTTAATGGCTTTCATTAACGTTGTCGTATTTAGTTTTATAGTCTCTGTGTCTTTGCTTAAGAGGACCAGATCATCCGCATAGCCAAGAACGGGTGTTGTCTCTCCCAGAACGAATCCTTTTTTGGAGCACATTACTTCCCTAATGGCATGTTCTAATGCCAAATCGAACAAGACAGGCGAAAGGGAATCACCCTGTTTTAAACCTGAACGAACCTCAAACTTTTCTGATAAATTATTACTGATTTTAACTTTATTGAGTGTTTCCGTCAAGCACATTCTGACTAGATTTATTGAATTTTTTTGGAATCCCCTGCTCGATTAGAATATTATACAGTTTCTGGCGGTCAAAAGAATCATAAAACCTTTTTGAAATCGATTTACAGTTGTTGAACAACACCATTGTACTCTAATTTTTTCTTCAGTATTTGCCATAAAGAAAATATTTGATCAATAGTCGAATGGTTCAGTCTAAATCCGAATTGGTAGTCCCCAATAATTTTCTCGGTTTATTCCGTGATTCGACTAGTTAAGATTAAAGTGAATATTTTATAACATACCGGAAGGAGTGAAATTCCTCGATAGTTATTACAATCCATCCTCGGAACCTTTTTGTCTATCGGAATAAGAATAGATTCTTTCCATTCTTCAGATAATTTCTCATTTTCCCAGATCTTTTTAACCATCAAAAGTATTTTACAAACTCCAGCTTTCCAGCATGCCTTAATTAGTAACTAGGAATATTATTCGTTCCCGCTGCTTTATAAGATTTTAATTTTGATAGCTACTTCAACTTCCTGTTTACTCGATTCTTCTATTATTGGTTCAGCACTCTGGTACTCAGAACGAGGACACAGATTATAATTTTCCATGTTTAAATTATTGTCAAAACGGTTCTTAAACTTATTTAATATGTCTACTGGATCAGTCAGAATATTGTAATTTTCATCCTTAATTCCAGACATGACGGACCCTTAACATTTGCGTGATCTGTTTATGCCTTTGTCAGTGTCTCTTATGATATTTTCGATTCTATTAGTTGCTATTTCTATTATTTTCTTTTTAAGATACTTTTTCTATTTTTGAGCAATTTTGTAGTTTCATTTGAGGTTCGGAAGTATTCGAGATTGTCTTCGCTAGGATTATTGAGAGCTTTTAATTTGTTGGGTTTTCTTTTTTCACACATGATTAAGCAATCTTTATCAAACCACGGTTTGTTATTCTTATTTTCCTTTTTTCCAAGACACAATTTACCGACTGATTTAATATTATTCCTAATATCTATCCATAAATTGTCCATATAATCGTGGTCCTTGTCAGAAGGTTCTAAAGCTTCAAACCTATTCTTAACATCTAGCTCAAATTAAGTTCTAATTGATGAATTTTTTAATTTTTCGAAATTAAAATTCTTGAAATCTGAACGGCTTGCTTTTCTCTCTTTTATATTAAATTTTTGTTGAAGTTTCGTGATTACTAATTCATGATCCCACCCATATTCTGCTCTGCAATAGGACCGTATATTAATTATACTATACCAGCTATGTTGTATCAAGACATGATCGATTTGATTTTGTGTTTGCAAATCCGGTGATGTCCAGGTATATTTATAAATATCCTTATTTTTAAATGTAATACTATTAATTATCAGGTTTTTCGAAATGGCAAAGTTTATCAAACGGATCACGTTATCATTACTATATTCAAACTTTCACCAATCGTTAGAAAATAAACTTTTTTGTGTCACCTAAAATTATTTTCATGGAGTTTTGGGATAGTTTATCATAAACCCATTTGGGTTTATCATGAAATTCGCATTTGACTTCATTGTCACTGTCTTCGGTCAGACAATGTACGTTTATTAACGCGGTTTTAAACCAATGTCTCTGAAATATGGCTACCGAAATTTATTTAATGCAGTAAAATAATTTAAGGCAGTGGTGTACCCAGACTTTTTTTACTACCTGTATGCACTAAATGCACTATATATCAGAAGCGGGTCTAGCATTTAATAGTTAAGGATTATTTTGATTTCACCCCCCCAAAAAAGTATTAAAATTCACTGATCAAATATGCATTTTTTACTCCCATTTGAAGTAGAGAACTTATTGCACATATTGTTGCACATATTAAGTGTTAACATAGTCATTATATTTCTACAGGAGTGAGAAATGGAGCTATAAAAGTTGTTCTACTGGACTCTCAGGATTCAGAATAGTATTTCATAATCCAAAGATTTTATTTATAGAGAACTACAGATGTAACTAAAAATATGTTATATAATACATACTTATTTAAGCATTAATTACAAATTATTTTTTATAGATACCT